AAAAAAAAAAAAAAAAAAGAAGACGTATTAAGTCAAGAAACATTAATCAAATAAAATAGCACGTGAGGATGTTAAAGTTATGGGTCTTAGTTCTGCCTTCCTTTTGCCCCATTATTACGTCCTTTCACCTTGATGGACCGTCTCCCATTGACCCTCTAGGTCTCCAGGTAGAAGCTGCTTCACTTCCTCGACTCTCTAAGGTATCATAAAGTGACCCTCGAAATTAATACTAGGATATGCCATTTAATCTAATAGTTGACAGATGTAGGTGACACTGATACATTTCATCAAGTGTCCGCAGCTGAGACGATGTCATCAGCCACAGGCATGAATGCAGGAACAAAGAAACAAGAGTTTTAGGGAACGGAGAGCCCTCCCCGGTAAATGCAGATGGTGTGAGTGGATCAGGAGAGAGGGCAGGTGGCAGGAGACAGACGGGATGGTTGGGTGAGTTGGGACATGTCAGAGTTTACTTTAGGCTATGGAACTGTTCATCGGATCTGTTATGTAGAATATGAAGCAGCCCCAAGTGAATAGGATCAGTGGGAGTGAAGAAACAGTGAAAGTAAGAACCCATTAGAAGAGCCGTGGTCATAGCCAAGTGATGTGTCTGGAGACCTGAACATCCATGATGGTGGGGATGGACTTAAGTCAACATGTCACGGGTGGAACCATTTTACCTCTGAAGTGATGAGCAATAGTCTTTAATTTTTCTAATATCTACCCCTGATGATATTTTGCAGACCCTTCCTTTTTTTCCTGAAGAGAATCAGCTTCCTTAGCAATATTTTGGGCATATTGTATAAGTTTTCATGAATTTTTATGTACAGCCTCATTCTGTCTAAGACTTCCAGTATTGAATTTCCTTATGGTGTTACCTGTTCTTTGGTTTTTTTTTTTGCGGTACGCGGCCCTCTCACTGTTGTGGCCTCTCCCGTTGCAGAGCACAGGCTCTGGACGCGCAGGCTCAGCGGCCATGGCTCGCGGGCCCAGCCGCTCCGCGGCATGTGGGATCTTCCCGGACCGGGGCACGAACCCGTGTCCCCTGCATCGGCAGGCGGACTCTCAACCACTGCGCCACCAGGGAAGCCCTGTTCTTTTTTTTTATGAAGATTTAAATACTATTTTATTTTGTGAAAATTGTCATAAACTAACTCTGTTAATGGTTCTTGTGTCCCGTTATTTTCTTCTTTCTCGAAGACATTTGGTACATTGCAGTGTTCCTCAAAATGTGTTCCACTGGAGGAAATCCCCAAGACCCATTCAGGGGTTTTCTGGGTCAAAATTATCTCATAATAATATCAAGTTGTTATTTGCCGTTTGCACTGCGTTGACATTTGCCTGATAGCACAAAAGCAGTGGTGCGTCTGGTGCTGGGACCTGAGCGGGAACCAAGGCAGTGGCCCCAACTGTGCTAGGGAGCTTTGTGTTCTCCACCTGCAGTGGAAAAAAGTAATTTTACTTAAGAAAGTTATTCATAAAACAAGGGGAAAACAGTACTATTATTAAACCTTGACCCTTCTCCTAGTGTGTGTGGTGAAGGAAGTTGGCATAAGAAGCTACCAGTTGTCAAATTGGGAGGAGACAGGAGTCTCAACACCTGAGAAAGAAATTATCTCCAGAAGAAGAGAGCGATCAAATGTGTCAAAAGCAACAGAAAGGTGCTTTCCATAAAGATTAGATTTTTTAAAAAGGATTCTGTATATGAGAACCTAAACAAGAACAGTTTCCATACAATCAGGGGAACCAGAGCCTTAGTGAAAGTAGGCTAAGGAGAAAAGGGGATAAAGGTGATGAGCAGAGACTATTTTTTAAAGAAATTTCTTCATGATGGGAAGCGGTAAGAAGGTGTCAGTGAAGGTGGGGCAGGGAGGTGTTTTCCAAAGAGGAGAAGTCAGAAAGATGGAAGAGAGTGACGGATGGTTCAAGATCTCTCAGGTGGCAAGAGGGATGGGCTTTGCAAATCCAATGAAGCACTTTGCCTTTAAGATAAGAGAAGACGTGTTTCTTTACTTTACATGAGGAGGAGAGGGGAGCAAAGAGGGGGTGTATAGAGAGATCATTCTTTTTATTGCTGGGTAGTATGTCATGGTATGAATGTACCCACTTTGTTTAATCATTCACTCATTGAAGGACATCTGGGTTGAACTCTAATGTGTGGTTATTACTAGTAAAGTTGCTATAAACTTTCGAGCACAGGTTATTGTGTGAATTTACATTTTTATTTATCTGGGAAGAATGCCCACGAGTGCACTTGCTGGGTTGTATGTTAGTTGCATGTTTAAATTTTTAAGGAAATTTCTAAACTTTCTTCCAGAGCAGCTTTGCCATTTTACATTCTCACCAGCAATGTATGAGTGATCCAGTTTCTTTGCATCCTTCCAGCCATTTGTGTTGTCACCATTTTTTATTTCAGCCATTCTGATAGGTGTGTAATGGTTATATGTCATCCTGGTTTTAATTTGTGTTTCCCTCATGACTAATGACGTTGAGCATCTTTTATGTTTATTTGTCATCTCTGTATTCTGTTCAGGGCAAGATCATGCCTTTTACCCATTGTCTACATGAGCTGCTTGGTCTTTTACTGTTGAATTTCTAGGGTTCTTTATTCTAGACACTAACCCTTTGTTGTGTATGTGGTTTGCAAATAGTTTCTCTTAGTTTGTAACTCGTCTTTTCATGCTCTAAACATGGTCCTTCACAACACAGAAGTTTTAAATTTTGGTCCAGTTTATCATTTTTTTTCCTTTGGTGGATTGTGCTTTTAATGCTAAGTCTTTACCTGGGCTTATATCCCAATGATTTTCTTCTATTTTTCTTCTAAGGGTTTTAGAGTTTTACATTTTATATTTAAGTTTGCTGTCTTTTTTGAGTTAATTTTTGTGCCGGGGTGACATTACTTTGCTGTTCATTTTTTGCCCATAGCTACCCAGTTGCTCCAGCAGCATTGTTGAAAAGGCTTCAGTGGAATTGTTTTCGCATCTTTGTCAAAACCAGTTGGGCATATTTGTATGGTTCTTTACACTGTTCCATTGATGTACGTCTGTGTCCACCACTCATCAATACCATACAGTTTTGATTACTGCAGCTATGGAATCAGCCTTAAAATCTGGTGGGCTGATTCCTCTCACTTTATTGTTCTTGGTCAGAATTGTTTAGCTATTCTAGTTCCTTTGTGTTTTCATACAGATTTTAGAATAGTCTTGTCTGTATCTCCAAATAATAAGTCTTGCTAAGATTTTGATAGGAATTGCGTTAAACCTAATATCAATTTGTGGAGAAATGACATCTTTGCTATCTTGAGACTCCCAAGTCATGAAGATGATATGTCTCTTTATTTATTTAGGCTTTACTTAATTTCTTACATCAGCATTTTGTAGTTTTCAGCAAATAAGCTCTGCATATGTTTTGTTAGATTTATATCTAAATATTTGAATGTTTTTAAACACTTGTAAATAGTATTGTTTTTAAAATTTCTGTGTCCATATGTTCATTGCTTGAATATATGAATACAATTGAATTTTTTTTTTTTACATTTATCTTCTATACTGCAGTCTTACTGAGCTCACTTTGAAGTATTCTTAAAGATTTCTTAGGATTTTCTACATAGACAATAATATCTGCAAATAAGGGTAGTTTAATTTCTTGTTTTTTTCTAATTTGTCTGCCTTCTGTGTCCTTTTCCTGCCATATCACACTGGCTAGCACCTCCAGCACTATGTTGAATAAGAGTGGTGAAAGCAGGTGTCCTTGCCCTGATTTCTGAGGGGAGAGCATTCACTCTTTCACAATAAAAGTAGAACATTTATTGTAGCCTTTTGCCTGTGTTCATTTTCAAGCTGTGTAAATTCTCCTCTATTATATTTGTGAGGGTTTTTATTTAATCATAGATGAGTATTGAATTTAGTCAAACACTTTTTTTGGCATTAATATTATCCTGTGGCTTTTCTTCTCTTGCTCTTAGTACAGTAGATCCCATCGATTTTCAAATACTGAGCCAGTCTTGCATCTCAAGAATAAACTCTACTTGATCATAGTGTATAAAGCTTTTTATATTGATGAATTTTTCTTTTTCCGCGGTACGCGGGCCTCTCACTGTTGCGGCCTCTCCCATTGTGGAGCACAGGCTCCGGATGCACAGGCTCAGCGGCCATGGCTCATGGGCCCAGCCGCTCCGCGGCATGTGGGATCTTCCCGGACTGGGGCACGAACCCACGTCCCCTGCATCGGCAGGCGGACTCTCAACCACTGCGCCACCAGGGAAGCCCTATATTGATGAATTTTATTTGCCAATGCCTTGCCAATGATCTTTGTGTCTGCATTCACAAGAGGTGCTGGTCTGTATTTTTTTCCTGTTTGTTTTTGGCCCTGTCTTTATCTTCTCGAAAGAGTTAGGAACATGCCTTCCTCTTTTATTTTCTAGACAAGATTGTATAGCGTTGGTGTTAATTCTTTTTCAATTATTGGGTAAAACTCTCCAGTGAAAAGATTTTCATTCTTTTCTGGAGATTTATTTTTTGGGGAGTTTAAAAAATTATGAATTTGATTTCCTTAGTAGTGATAGGGCTATTTCAATTATCTGTTTCATATTAGGTGAGTCATGGTAGCTTGTGCTTTTTGAGGAAATGAGTAAGATTAAATCTCTTCATCTTAGCCAGCAACAAATTTTTGATATTACCATATACCTTTATTTCAGACGTAAAAAAAATACTGAGAAAGAATAATGAAAATCCTTGTATCCACTACTCAGCTGAAGAAATAAACATACAAATATTTAAAGACTATGCATTCTACTTGCTTTTTCCCTGTTCTCACCTCTACTCCAATTTACCACTGCCCTGGGCTTGATGTTTATTATTCTCTCAGATGTCAAAGTAATTAATTTTTTAAAAACTTTTAATGGGTGACCAATATAGTCCCCAGACTTACACTGCTTGACTCGGTTGGCACATATTGACAAAAATGATATGACATGACATTATTTTGGGTTGTTTCCACAGCTCTCCCCGTGTTTACTCAACTGCTTAGGGACACAAGTGTAGAAGTTGGAAAGAATATGAACATTTCATGTCAGGCTCGGGGAGAACCATAGCCCATACTTACATGGAATAAGGTAAGATCTTGACTAAAAGTACTGTAATATTAAAACACTGACAGATAGATTGGCCTGCTGAAACAGAGGTAATGATTCTTAGTTGATTTATTGCTGTTGTGATTTTTTCTAGCAAGTGAAATGGATCTGTTGCTTTCTTCTTCTTTTTTAAGTGACTGTATCTGATTTTGTCTCAGGGCTTTGATAAAGTTTATTCTTTCTCATTTGCTTGGGGATGAAAGCTTCATAAACATAACTAAATTCCTATAAGGAAAAATTGCTTTTGTCGTGTATAAATTAAGAGTTTCAGTGACTGGCAAGAAACAGTTTTGAATTAATAACTCAGAAGTGGTTTAAAATTAGGTCATTAGGTGAAGTAAGAAAGGATGAAAAACTTGGTACTAAAACAAAGTGACATGAAAAACAGGACTTCGTGGGTTCGAAACTTGAGTGGCTTTAAAAAAATAATAGCTCCTTACTTATATTTCTTATGTCCTTTGGTCCTTGGAGCCATATTTTCCCAACACAATTGCTTCTTCCATTTTAAGTTTTTCATCAAAATGAAATGATTGGCCTCAGATTCTGGTGTTCCTAAAAATACACAAGCCCACGTACATTTGAACGGCAGTTTTCCTGAAAATTTTGACAAAATCTGTGAAAGGTTATGAAGCTGTTTTCCAAAACCACTTGGCTAATTTTTTTTTTTTTTTGCGGTACGCAGACTTCTCACCGTTGTGGCCTCTCCCGTTGTGGAGCACAGGCTCTGGACGCGCAGGCTCAGCGGCCATGGCTCACGGGCCCAGCTGCTCCGTGGCATGTGGGATCTTCCCGGACCGGGGCACGAACCCGTCACCCCTGCATCTGCAGGCGGACTCTCAGCCACTGCGCCACCAGGGAAGCCCGCACTTGGCTAATTTTTGTCGTTGCCATGTAGTAACAGTGCCTCCTGTTGTTGGTGCCGCATTTCTTTTGTGCTACAGCTGAGAACACGGGCGGTGTTTTAGAAAGACAAGGTTGAGAGGTCTCAACTGGAACTTTTCATTTGTAAGAGAGACTTTTCAAATTAAGTGATTATAATTGATGAAGGTATCTTTTTGCATTTTTCAGCCTCTGTTTTTTTTTTTTTTTTTTT